TATTATTAATTCAGTAGGAACCAACAGGCTTGGAACTAGAAGTGATGGTGAAGTTTAGTTTAGTTAAGCTTATGATAGGGCTACACAATTTATCAGAATATTATCTAATTCACAGTATGGCCAAGTGCAATATCAGCAGAAGCTGAAATGTTTTGATAAAGGTAAAATGTGACACAGCATTACAATGAAGTACTGTAGTGCTGCAGAGATGCTGTGGTCTACAAATCTTATTCTCCATAAGAAAACCCGTTTGCTTGGTACGGACCCCAAAAAATCATCATGGTTTTAATAGTTTTTATCAGTGAAAATAAAAATGTGTGATGCAAAAATTATCACTCCCATTAATTGCTAATCATGTTACTATTGCAATGTTTGTGAAAATAATCGCAATACCACTTTTTTTACAGTGCATATTAATAATAATAGTTCCCAGGTTGCTGTTGTGACTTTTATGGAAAAGTGAATTATTCAGACGCAAGACCGACATGTAAAATTGGCAACATATTTATGTAAAGATCTTACTTGAAGAATCTTCTGCTCACTCCCTGTGTTCTAACTCTCGTCCTTGCTATCTACTGCTTTTTCCCATTTTTACCTCTGGCTCTTTATGTGCTGCTTCTATTGTTCATTTTCCGTGTACTGCACCACCTACTACCTATCTGTTCCTAACACTCCAAGAACTAACACTGAAAATGGCTGCTAAACCGATTTTGAAAAGCATATATAAGTTTCGGGTCATTGATATTCCACCTTCCATTTCCTCTACTTTCCCCTCTTTCATCCCCTTCTTCCCATCATCCCTCTGCCCCACTATGTTTCATTTCTGTCAGCTCCATTCTCTCTGCCCACTGGTCAGTCTTTAGAGCAGGAACCCCATGGAGGGTCTGGATTTGTCCCTTCTTCGAGACCCCAGGTCACCCCTACAGTAGAGACCCCCCCACTTTCTCCTTTAAGTACTGCTCCTGTGCTCTGTGGGCCTGCTCTCCCTCCTCCTCAGCCTCAAACTGCCTTAGCCTCCCCCAGTGACCAAGATGCAGGTACAGAACAGTAACAATGATCCATGTTGTTCCTGCTTCATTAGAATTAGCATCAAAATTGAGTGACTAAACCCCACCAGTTTACAAGCACATGTCTCCGCCTGCTGGTTCTTTTTATTAAAGCAGCTAACACTTGATTCCACACAGGTAAAAGCACACAGTCAAAGTGCTGAGCTGGTGTGGTGGCATATGAATATCTTCTTTTAGGTCATTATTTATAACCTCTTCAATGCTTTTCTTTCATTTTAGAATTCAGAAGACAGTTAAGCACGCTGAGTGAAGAGGATAACCAGTGTACAACCCCCATAAGTGAGTACACAATGCAGTGCAGTAGAATAAGTGAAACCTATATGCAATGACTGCATGGCTAACTTTATATTTCTGTATGTTGTTCAGCCTCTGACCCCAGAGCCACAGCCAGCGGCAGGCCAGAGCTGTCCAGGGCTTCAGAAAGGAAAAGAGATACACATTTTGGAATTGAGGTTGTCAAGGCATCAGCAGGGTAAATATAAAGTCTGCCTTTTATCAGGTTTGGTGTTTTTTAATATTTGGCGTAGCATGGCTGTAATGGAATAACTCACCCTCAGATACTCCAACACTGTTAATGAAGATTCCATCTATTTGTGACGGAATTCAGGGAGTTCTAAGGAAGTAGTTGGTTGAGTTCATCATGAGAAAACTCTATTCACCAATGAAGAACATGTGATAGGGTTGAAAGAGGCTTGAAAAAGTTAGGAGAGGTCATTGTCAAGATTTAAGTACTTAAATAAAATAACAAAGTGCTTCACAACAAAAGCATTTAGGACAATACTAACGATTTGATTCGACTGGGCGCTGCTCTGTGATATCGCGTCTGTGCTCCTGCACGTGGCACGTGGATCGCTTTGCTCGTCAGATTTTGGGGGTGCCCTTGTAGCTCAGGTAGAGCTGGTGCCCCATGTACCAAAGCTGA